CGTTGCTTTAATATACGAGTTTTGGATGTACGTCCTAAAATCTAAAATCGAAATTACAATTCGCGAAGAAAGTAATATAATTAGGTAGGAGGATAACGAAGAAATAGTAAGCCCTATTATATTAATAGTAAAATAGTCTCTTTTATATATAGTACTATATATATTCCCGCTTAATATATAATATATTCTTGTTAGGTATCCTATATTTCTCTACCGTTTTATTTTTAAATATAGTAATTTCGGCGTTTATACTATAATTATTATTAAAAAGGAAAATAGAAAACTTTTCATTACCTCCTTATTTAATTAGTAGATAGAATATATATATTTTATAATTTTATTAGATCCTTTAATAATATTCAACTCTATAAATCTAATTACGAATAAAGATAGCGAGTTTAGTATTATATATATATTAGAGGATCCGATTTTCATTAAATTTAATATATATATGAAATAGGTATATTATTATATTTAGGTAAGATTATTATATTTATAATTCTTATTCTTATCTATTACTTTAGTTAAACTTTAGATTAATAATTTAATTTTGATATTTATTCAATATAAAAATTGTATTAGGAGGCACTAGACTACAAAATTACTATATAAGCTGGTAGAGACTTTCATTATTTATAATTTGTATTATTAGATTAATATAGAAGAAATTCGGAAGAATTCTTCGGTACCCTAGGAGTATAAGTTAAGGAGCGTATAAGAAAGTTTAAAATAGAGGATATAAAGTAAAATACTATTTAATTGAATTTTCTAACCTATTTTCTATAATTACAGTATTGGAATATAAAATATTTATTTTAGCCGTAGTAATTAGAATATTAATAATTATTAGTTCTATTTACTTTCTAATTACTATTAATTATTAAAAAAATACTACTTTATTTAGGGCTTAAGTATATATTTTATCCTATATAGAAATCGTAGAGATATATTATATTTCTTAGATCTATTATTATTTATTATTTTCGATTATATAAATATATACGTATAAACTTATTATAATATAGGAATTAATAAGGATAATTTTAAGGATTAGATATTCGAAGGTTAAAGCGAAGATTTAATACTAATATAATAAATATATAGCGGAAGCCGACTTAGATTATTTAGATATTTTTTAATAGTAATAGATAAAAGTAGGATTTAAAAATAATATATTAGAATACTCTAGAATATATTATAATTAGAGTTTCTTTAATACTTTGATTAATATTCTTTTATTTATTTTAGTTTTTCCTTCTAATTTCCTTCTATTTTAAAATACCCTACTCAATTAAAAACCCTATTTGGATTTAGTAAGGGCGGTAAAAAGATTCTTTATAGCTTAGGATTATAATCGTTCTAATTTAGAATCGTTCTAATTTAGGATTATTTTAAATTAGGATTATTTTAATTTAGGACTGTTCTAGCTTAAGATTATTCTAATTTAGGATTATTCTAACTTGGAATTATTCTAATTAAAGATTATTCTAATTTAGGATCGTTCTAGCTTAGGATTATTCTAGTTTAGGATTGTTCTAGCTTATTATTATACTAGTTTGGATTTGAAGGCTTATTATTTAATCCTAAATTCGAATTTAAATATAAAGAAAGGCAGTTAAATATAAGAGTAGAAGCCTAAATATACTTATAATTTCTTAAATTATTCTAACTAAGGATTGTTTTAATTAAAGATTATTCTAATTTAGAATTATTCTAGCTTAGAATCGTTCTAGCTTAGAATTGTTCTAATTTAAAATTATTTTAGTTTAGAATTATATTAGTTTAGGATTATTCTAGTTTGGGATTATTTTAGCTTAGTATTGTTCTTAGCTAAAGATTGTTCTAATTTGAGATCGTTCTAATTTAGGATTATTCTAATTTAGGATTGTTTTAATTCAAAATTCTTTCAAATTTGAATTATTCTAACTTACAATAAAAATCCTATATTCAACTTTATTGAAGTATTTTTATATTAATAAAATAATTAAGTATAAAAGGCGGCCGAATATAATTGAAAATAGGAATTAAATAGAAGGGTATTTATTATAAAAGATTATTTATAGTAAGTAAGAGGGTATTATAATAGAACGGGCCTACCCTAGGGTACTATAACTGATATTAAAATTATATTAATTAATATAGTACTTAAAATAGAGTAATTATCCTATACGAATAAGAAGCGACACTTTGATATTGAATTAAAATAGTACATAAAGTATAATTATATAATAAAGTATAAAATTTAAATTATTTATTATATTATATATCAAATATTATAAAATAGAGCTTCTATTATATATAAGTATTATATAATTCCCTTAGAGATTCGTTTTAATATTAGTATTAAGTTCTATACTAGCGACTTTTCTAAAGTCTCTATTATAAATATAGTAATTAGAGATAGGTATAAACTTATACTAAAGAGCGATTTTAAAATAGATTCAGTCCTCCGTTAGTAGGAAAAATTTATATTTAGCCTCATTAAGGTATTCTTATACTAATAAAATAATTTGGCAATAATATTAATCACACAATTCTACTCTTTTATTAAATATTTAGCTAATTCCTATTTCAATTAGAAAAGACTTATAAATTTTTAGAATTAATTATATTAAATTTAATTATAGAAGTATTAAAGAATACTTTAGTTTTATAATTTTTAGGAAGGTATTATAGTTAGTAAGTAAGGATACGGAGAAAGAGAATTCGGTTAAATTTATGAATATATTAAAAAGGAAAATAAAAATACTATTAAGGATAATATTAAAAATATAATTATAATAGAGAGTTTAAGGTTATACTATTTAATTATAAGTAAGGTTACTATATTCTAATAGCTTAGTAGGTTTATATATTTATTTAAATTTGTAATAAAAAGAAATTAGAATATAGTATTTTCTCTGAATTATAAAGGAATATAGGGCTCTATATTATTATTTTATTAAGTGTAAGATAACTAGCAATTTCCTTCTAATTATATACTAATTACCGAAATACTATTTCTTTTTTAAGGTTAAGTATTTATGGATTTAGAAGGTTTAGAGCGCTAAATTAATTACTTAGGTTAGGTAAAAGCTGTAGTTTTCTATTATAAGTTTATAAAATTAGTAATAATATACTAATAACTAGCGTAATAATTTATACTATTTATAAATCTATAGCGTAAGTAGGGTTATAAATTATAGTAAATTAATATATTAAAATTAATTTATTCTAAATTAGCTAATTTTGAATCTATTTATTATAAAAGAGAGAAAAAGGGAAGTAAAGCAAAGAAATAAATATTAAATAATAATTAAGAATTAATAAAATCCTCCTCCTCTTTACTTTATAGCTATTTATAGAATGATTTCTCTATTTAATTAAAAATATAATTGTATTTGAATCCTTTTATTCAAAAGAGGTAGTTAAAAGTCTAATAAAAGTACAAATAGTTTGGCTTATTATTAAAACTTTAAAATTAGAGTAGGTTTAACCAACCTCTTAAACTTCTATTCTTACCCTTATTCTAATTGTTTATTATAGGGTTATAATTACTTTGATATTCGTTAGTAAGCGAATATTATCCTATCTTTTATAGGTTTAACTATATAAATATATATATCCTACTCTATTATATTCTCTCCTATATACTTAAGTAATACAATTAAGGTTATCTTATAGGTAATAAGTATAACGGTTTATTTTTTGAATTTAGTATATAAATTAGAATAATTTTAAGTTAGAACAATCCTAAGTTAGAACAATCCTTAGGTAGAATGATTTAGAGCTAGAATAATTTAGAGTTAAAATAATCCTAAATTAGAACGATCCTAAATTAGAATAATTTTAAACTAGAACGATTTTAAAGTAGAACGATTCTAAGGCAATTATAAGCTAAAATAATCCTAAATTAGAATAATCCTAAATTGGAATAATTTTAAATTAAAACGATCTTAAATAAAAACTATTCTATAAAATACTAGAACGACCCTAAATGATAGAATAATTATTATAGTGCTAGTAGACTACTATATTATTAAACTATATTCTAAAGGATATAATTAATTAAAACTAGTAATTTGGTTACTCAAATAATTTTATATAATTACGACGGGTAATTAGGCTATTACAATAATAATAGGATAGAACGATCCTAAATTAAAATAACTTTATACTTTTCGTTTTAGAAATATAGTAAAATGCGTTAAGGATTTAGGATATTAATATATATTTCTTATAATATTTATAAATCTTTCTTTAAGCGTAGTAAAAACAAACGCCTAGGGGTACGAATAACCCACTGCTAAGGTTACAATTTGCTAAAAAGTTTTTCGCGAATTAAAGTATAGAAAGAAGTGGGTCTTATTAATTAGCGTTCTCAATCCGTTTTAAACGGAAGGGGGCCGTTAGCAATTCGGGAGCTGGGGGTTCTATTTTCTACCCTCCACACGTGACCAAATGTGCACTTTTCTGCCCTTGCTACTCTTTCGCGTAAGAAGACATATTGCCTGACTAGTAGTTGGGTCGGTGACGACCAGCGAATCCCAGGTGTTGTATGTTTTTTATCTTATATTTTTTTTCCCCTTTTCTAGTTGTAAAGCTCTGGATATGCGAATAACGATTGTGATTGTGGGTGTTAATGAACAATGGAGTATCGAAACCGCATGGGCTACCTCTATGTATCCGGGGTTAAGCAGTCAAACGGCCAGGCCAAGTTCGAACTCTATATTGAATATTTTTTTTTCTTTTGATGAAAGAACAGAGCCAGAGCAGTTCAAGATCGAGTGTAAGTTGGTGTAGCTGAATGTTCAGTTCAGCAAATGCCGAGGGCACCTCAGTTGAGGTTGCACAAGGCAGCTTGCTTGCTGATGAGCTTCAGGGATCCTTGGACCTCATTTCAGGGGTACGTAGCTCCAAGCTCCCCCGCAATCCCCCCACAGTGGGGTGGTATTTGTCACACCATCCACCGGCAACCTCCCGCTCGTCGTCATCAACATCTAGAGGTACCTATCATTCGACAAACATCAACTCTATTCACGCGAACACTGCTCCAAAGTACATTGACGCTGTGCCTTCAATGTCAAACTGTAGCCGATAACAAACCGACAACGATGCCCCGCGACGACATGCTCGAACGCTCGCAATCCCTCCTCCTCCGCAGCGCCACCTCCCGCCGTCATCTAACCGACTTCTTCTCCCGCGCCCTCTCCGCGTTCCAATCCTCCACTGACTCGCCGCAAAACTTTCAAGTTGTCTGCACAGCCCCTCCAGCAAGTAGCAGTAATGCTTCAGCTTCCGCCGCTGCTGCCCACGACGCACAAGGGAAACTCCTTCATCCACAATCTCCAGTACCGATCCCACCGACGAAGCGACCGCACACTCTGATCGTGCTGGACTCGAGCTTCAACCCGCCTACACTGGCGCATCTGCGCATGGCTACCTCGGCAGTGCACGATGTCATCAAGAAGAAGAGAAAGGGAGAAGATGAAAAGGACATGAGCGGGTTACGACTCCTTCTCCTCCTAGCAGTCGTCAACGCCGACAAGGCGCCCAAGCCAGCGGCCTTTGACCAGCGACTAGCCATGATGTGGGCCTTTGCTCACGACGTACAACGGGCTCTAAGAGGGGAAGCGGGCGAAAGTACCAACGAGGTGTCGCCAGCTTCCGGTCCGGGGCCAAAACCAGAGAAGCCGCAAATCCACGATAGTAGTCAATTGGAGGCGGCGGAGGAAGAACAACAAAAGCAAGGACTACCAGTAGATATCAGCGTCGATATCGGTCTAACATCGAAACCCTACTTCCACGAAAAGAGCCGGGTGATAGCTGAGTCCAAGTTTTACAAACCCCCAAAAGAAGAGGGAGAGGAGGATACAATGACACAAGTCATCCTGGTAGGCTTTGACACGTTGATCCGTATCTTTGATCCAAAGTACTACGGCCCTGCCACGCAGGTCACGGCGCACGCGCATGATCAAAGCCGGAAGGGGTCACCGATACAGCAAGCGCTGGATCCGATGTTCAAGCGGGCCAAGTTAAGGGTGACGCTGCGGACGAATGATGAGTGGGGAGGTAAGCAGGAGCAGATGGCGTATCTGGAGAGCTTGTTGAGTGAGGAGGGGCTGGCGAAGATTGGGGGGAGTAAGGAGTGGGCAGAGAGGATTGAGCTGGTGGAGGGGAGGAGGGATGGGGAGGAGATTGTGAGTAGTACGTATGCGAGAAAGGCGGCGGAGAGGGAGGAGTGGGGGAAGTTGAGGAGGTTGGTGTCGCCTGAGGTTGGGAAGTGGATTGAGGGGGAGAGGTTGTATGTTGTTGATGTGAAGCCGGGGGCATGTTGATTAGATGTTGATGGTCTTGAAAGTCATCATGGTAAGACAGGATGGTAGAAGAGACTTGAGTAGATCGATTATATCCCTTTCAAGACCGACCAATCTTTCCGAATTTTGAGTACCGCGTGGCGAGTCCAGCCATTCAATGATGTTTGCGCCATCACAGGCCCTCTGTAGGAATGCGCTGGTGTTGTTGTGCCAACAAGTGCTTATTGCCGCGAAGGATACGGACATGGCCATCTCGGGAGGTTTTCAGATCGCCTAAAAACTGCGCCAGATAATGTTGATGGACTCGCAGAGTTACATGCTCATCAAAACAAACAGAAACAGCACTGTATTCTCTCATTGCCGCCTTTTCATGCCAAAATTCCATGTTGTCGAGGAGCAGAACCTGGTGTCGCAAACGGCATCGTGAGAAATTTTGGCGGAGTGGCCTGGCAGAAACCAGGTGGTCCACCTTCTTTTGCACTTCTGGAACCCGATCCGGCAGATTTTGTAAGGCTGACCCACTAAAAAGTCCCCTAGTGGACCCCCAGATTTGCACATGTGCACAGACCAGCGAAGGGTATCTGGAAGGGTATAAAACATCCTCCTCCCCGCCTGGATTTTGGCCCTTTTTTTCTTTTTTTTTTCTTCATGTCGACAATACTTCAGTGAGTACCCCCCTAACTACTATTGGGCTCTGCTCTCCTCCAGGGAGATCGATGCTCTTTGGCAACGTACCTATGACGCTAACCACATTACCCACCAACAGGAGAATCATTTCTATAGTATTTGTCCTCTTTTGTGTTCCCTAAAGGAGCCACAGATCCCACCCGGGTTGATGAATTATATCCTCGTTTCCCAACAGTGAGGTCCTTTTATTTTTTACTCTCGTCCTGCCTGCAAAGGTGGCGATCTGCTTTATAAGTAGATTGTATAGAGAGTGGCGATGATCTGTACCCCGATTTTTTTCTCAAGGTCTGCCTTCGGGCGCTTGGGCGGGGTGGGTTTCGATGGAAGTCTGACCGGCCTACATCACACTTTTTTTTTTCATTGTGCTCTTGGGCTTCCACAGCTTGGGACGCAAAGAAGATATGGAATGTTTTGCGAACTTGGGGTGTCTGGTGAATGACTGGTTGTGTCTGCCAGGGCAAAGTTTGCGATGCGACACGTTTGGAGCGGGCTGCCTTCACTTGAAGGTTCAGACATTTTGCGCTGCCGGCCGGCTGGGAACTCAGATTCGCGATGCCGCTTGCCGCCGCCTGCACTTTTTTCTTGGATTGCCAAGCGGTACCTACGGATGTGCCTGCTGATAGTCCTCAACGAAGCTCGAGGGTCCACTCTTGACTTCAGCGACAACACAATCATCACGACGACGCTGACAATGTCCTATAGGACCTTGACTAAGATTCCTCAAGCTGGGATTTATTCTTATGCCCACGCTGTGTGTTACTTTCCTTTCAATCACCTATTAATTTCACGACCGATGGCATCACCTACGCGGATGAAGTTGAAGCTCAGCGGGCCCCTGCCACATTTCTTGAATCAGCCTTCTTGCTGGAGCTCCAGATGCTTGGTCCCAGGATTTTCCAACCCCAGCGGCACCTGGTTCGTGACACCAAAGCAAAAGTGCTTAAGTTTGGCTCTTGCGTGAATGCTGTGTTAGGGCACAAGTTGCGTTCCCTCGAACTTTGCTTCCTCGCTCTTGCCTTTTGGTCGTGCAACCCCCAGACCCCGTGCATTTTGACCTTTGGCTGGTCACGAGCAGGACAGAAGGGAGCCATCCCTCGCACCGCAAGAACTTCTTTCTCCTGGCATCCAAACATAATCCTCGCTGTTGGCTATTCTCCTACATTGCCTTCGCATCTCCTCGACATTCCCCATGTCTCGCAACATTCATCGCCCCCATGGCCGGGTCTCCTACATCTACGGCGGCAACAGAAATCCAATTCACGCAATCCGATAACCTCGGTTGGGCCCCTCTACCTCAACCCCGTGTTCTCGTGTTCTAATGGGGCTATGATGGTTAAAGAAACACCATGATCCTCACTGCGACGAGCAACTGAAGAAGCCGTGCAGTTGACAATCGACATCAACGAGACAGCGACCCCCTTATCAAAATTGTGCCTCTCGGCATATACTTCTCGGCTTACACTCATCGCTTGGCACCATGTAAGCCAAAGATCTACAAAAAGATCTAATCCTATCAGAGTATAGCTCCTGGAAGCGAATACTACCGGGTGGCTTTGTGTCAGAAAATATTCCGCGCTAGCATACGTCACCAAACCCCTCGATCCCCAAGCTGTTTCTCGATACAGTTTACGATCATGACCTCCGGGCTTTGGCCAAAAGAGGTCAACAAGCTTTGCCCAGATTGCGGACACCTCTTTCCTCCCTCCGGACGATGGCCCTGGGACGGGGATACAATCGGCAAATTTGTGGACACCAAAGGAAATGTGCGCGAACCTAGCGTCGAGGAGCTCGACGCTTCAGCAACTTCTACCGGGTGTCATCTATGCAGAGCTCTCTTGGAATGTATATTGCCTGGATCTCTAAAGTTTAACCGGCAGGACTACCCTGCGTGGTTTGATCTCAACAAGGAGTTTCGGTACAGCGTTTCGCTTCACGCCGCCCAGCATGATTCAAACCAACACCTTCGGTCTATTTCTTTGAAATTGACGGCAATGGGGGAGCGTAGGTGGATGGGCATGCAACTACGGGGTTTAATCTTCTATAGAGCACGCCCGGTGTTGTTGTCTGACAGGAACTGTTCGGAGGAACCAAATGTCAGGCCACGCCGCTGGGTCTTCAAGGAGGTTGATCCTCCAGGGCATTATGAAGGGATCGGGGACGCTGGACTCATGGAGGTTGACATCGTTCAGCCAACATCAGCCACAACCTTTGACCCTCTCGCCTTCGAACAGCTACGGAGATGGGTAGACGAGTGCACTCAAAAGCATGAGCTCTGCAAGACAGCAACACCCGGAAAGAACTCCATTTTCGGCTTTGAACAGACGGTGCGGCTGGTCGATGTCGGGCTCAATGATAGCTCACCAATTCGTCTAGTGGAGGGTTTCAGGGTAGACCAGGTCCGGTATAACACACTGAGTTACCAGTGGACAGCGGACACATCAAAGACCAGTCTAAGGAAGCATAACAGAGCCGCCTACTGCCATGCGATTCCAACAGAGGCCTGGCCTAAGGTATATAAGGACGTTGTGATCGTTTGTCGGGCCCTTGGCGTTCGTTACGTATGGATTGACTCCCTTTGTATTGTCCAAGATGACCTGGAAGATTGGAAAGTCCAGTCATCCATGATGCAGGATGTCTACTCCTACGGCCATCTCAATCTCGCCAATGTGCTAGGAAAGCACGCGGATGGGCTAGAAGTAAGCCGCTATCCCACGGCTACCTCGCCCTGCATTTTGTCACGCACGCTTGAGGATGGCTCAACAGAACATTGGGGATGTATGGAGGACGGCAGTTGGCGGGAGCACATTCAGGATGCACCGCTGTACACACGAGCATGGTGCTATCAGGAGCGGTTTCTTTCCGCGCGAACAGTTCAGTTTGGTCAACAGCTCTACTGGGAGTGTAGAGAGCAATTTGCTTCCGAGTCGGTTCCGTTCGGCAAGGCATTCTACAACATTAAACACCCGGACCTAATCACCACCTCTGCCAAGGGCAAGGAGAGTGCTAGCGAGACGATGAGTCCCGCAGAGATATGGGAAACGATTGTCAAGATTTACACCACCACCCAGCTCACGCAGCAGTCCGACAAGCTGGTAGCTCTTAGAGGCGTCTTCAACCGCTTCTGGGAGCGATTCGAAGTCGAAGCCGAAGCCAGAAAGCAAGAGTCAAGCCAACAAGTTCAGCACCAGCAAAACATTGACTGGTGCATAGCCGGCCTCTGGAAGCGCGACCTCATCCGCCAGCTCCTTTGGCGTCGCGACACCTACCACCTCGATGCCATTCCCAAACCCGAATGGTGGCCCGAAGAAGATGCCCAACAAAATTCATTCAATGCTCGCGCGACCGAAGTCCTCAAACTCTACCCCTCTTGGTCCTGGGCCGCTTGTCCCTCATACCACGGCTTCGGCATTTGCTTCACCACACAACCCACCGACAAAGTCGAAGATATGATTGTCATCGAACAGATCAAGCCGCTCAACTACAACCCACAAGGTACATACACCGATTACACAGCCTTTGACTCTTCTGTCCTCATCCTCCGCGGCCTTCTCTACAGCGGCATCACAACCATCGACCTATCCCAAGTCTTTGCCGAATGGCGCACCAAATCCGAATCTTCGGGAACCGTCAAACACCACGCTCGCCTTATGCGGCGGTCGGCGTGGTGGATCTACTTTGATCGGCCACTACTCACCCCGCTAAGACCAGAAAGTGTAGGTGTGTTGATGGTCAGGCTGGTGGGCTTGGGTGAAGTGAGGCAGACGAGGTATATGCATGGGCTTTTGGTGGAAAAGCTGGGGACCGGGATGGGAGAGGACATGATGGACGGGTTGCCGACCTATAGACGGATGGGGTTTTTCTTGCTTAGGAGTAAACGGGGGGTAATCCCGGGGGTGGAGTGGCCGGAACGGTTTAGGACGGTGGAAGAGGCGGAGGCTGCGGCGCGGGAGGTGAGGGAGAGGAGGAGGACGTGGCCGTTGTTGAGGTTGGTGTAGGAGATTGCGTAGGTTGATGAGGTTGTGAAAATGGATGTCATGCCATTCCATGATCGCAGGGCGCAAACGGTGCAAAAAGTCTCAGCATCGACATGAATCTGACGGAGATGGTGTGTGTGTGGTAGCTCTGATTGTGCCATGGTGGTCGGGGTCACCTATAGTCTCGTAGTGGACTTCTGAGTGAGTGAAGCCAAACACACAGCATTGAATATTAGCTCTACGTTAGGATACAAAGAGCACATACGACCATACCCACTGGAAAACTCGGGATCCCGTCCGCTCTCCCATAGATAAGCCAGTGAGGGCCAGACTAGTAGTTGGGTCGGTGACGACCAGCGAATCCCTGGTGTTGTATGTTTTTCTTTTATTTTTCCCTCCTTGTTCTTTTTTCCCTCTTTTTTGTTTCTTTATCACAGCTCTTCAGTTT